TAACTGGAATTAAAAAGTAAATTTCAGTATAAACTCATATCATTTTTTATGAGTAATTGAAATTAAAATTTTAATGATATTTAATTACGTGTAATTATTTACATGTTAGATAATAATTTCTTTCTATTTTTGTTATTTTGTTTTAATTAAAAAAATATTAAGAGTTATATATTTATTAAATTATTATTTTCTGTAGATACACTATAATTTATGTTATAATAACTAATATATAGAACTAGTTTAATTATCCGACTTCGCCCATGTGTAGTTAGTGCTTTCTCAAAATGACTGCAATGACAAATAAAATAAAATTGTGAATAAAAGATCACTCGTATGAGTATTTGGTGCAACCTTGTGAAAAAAAATTTGAAAAATGTTAGTGTCGTCACAAAATGGGATCATAAAAAAAGGCATGTCCTTATATATATATAAATAAATGATCATTTTGTAAATAATTAGTTCAACCTACGCCTTATTACAAATCTTCAAAAAATATGTAACTAATAACTATATATATATATATAAAAAAAAAATAAATACTTAATAAAATATAAACTAACCGATTGTCTCCGTTTTCGTTACATATAATATATACATAGTAGTCGGTACTAAGTGATTTATTATCGCTGAATTCAAATTTGAAATATTCAATGACGTGATACACTTAAAAATTACGATACTATAGTACACATATAAAACAGGATGATTTACCTGATATTTTATAAAAATAAATGTATCGAATTTTCCTGTTTTTGAACGGATCCGTCAAATTATATTATTTTATAGAATTTGTTTAGTTATAATATGTTTCTATATCTAATGATGTAGGAATCACAGCTTAACGAATCGCATGACATATTTATACGAAGAAACATTTGAATATAATATTTATTATTTTTGTTTGAAGGGTGTGTTATGTGAATTTTTCGAAAACTGAACGATGCGTTTCATAAGATCAGAAGTTATACAAACACGATTAATACGCGTGACTAATTTCTCCAGAATGTCTGTTGCTAAATATTTACCAGAATACTACTATTCACTAAAAATATTATACGCAATACTTCATACAATAAAAACGTCAATAATTGTAACATTATTATGATTTTTGGTTATTATAAATTGTAATCGTAAACTCGCTGGATTTTTCAGTCAATATACATTTTTTATGTGAGCTAAGCCCCAATTTTTAAGACTCGCAATTTACTATTTTTTTGTTTGAGAATTATTTAGCATTGATGCATTAAACTTTTTACGTACCTAAAGGAAACAGGATACGATATAAATACACATATAATATATTATATGATATTCTCATCATTCACTCAAAATATTTTTATATTTTTTTATTTTCATTTATTTGAATAAAATCATAAATAAGTATTTACAATATATTTATTTGTTTAAAAATCACATATTAATTACACAAATAAATACTAATCTCTATATAAAATGTAATGAGTATTCAAATTAAGTTGAATATATTAATTTATTTTACAATTGTATACAAACGTCCATACGTATTTATTATTATATAGTTTAGTAGGTACCTACATGGTATTTCGTTTGTAATTTTTAGATGACAGAATGTATATTTGAATGTTGATCGATTAATAATGAATAGTGTTCTGTGTGTAGTTGTTCATGAAAGGAATTGGGAAAATAATATTGAAGTCAAGTTTACAATCATCATCTTCATTACCTGTTATTTACGGACCGAGTATACAACACAATACACAAAGTGATCACGAAACATGTGCCCAATACATTTAACCCGCAATCACAGACAGCGACATGAGCGACACATAAATGGTTCGATAATTTGATTGACATTAATTGTTTAAAATTGAACAGACGGCAATGAACTTTTTTAAAAGATAATGTAATTAGAAAACAATACTCAATTTAAACTTTAATCGATGTTTATTGGTGTACGAAAAAACTAACAAGTATAAACTATGGAGTCCAGAGTGTATTTTTATTTAATCATGCAAAATGTATGCGTTTTGGATCTAAAGATCTTGCTAACTTATACTATACAGAAACTAGCAAGAATCTAGGTAATAGCTACCCGTTTGTGGTAAATGATATAGTAAATAATTGACATTTGACACCAACAATATATTATTATGACGAACATAATGTGATACAGCATATTATAGAGATTGTATTATTTAAGAATAATATTGAACTTTGATCACTAAAAACAGTTTTTTTATTAATAAAATATTTACTTGCTAAAATGGTTCAGTATCGCTTCTTGTTTGATTTATATTTGTAAATTGTTATGTATATTATAACATTGTCTACGGTTTACGTGTTTCATATGATTTGTATTTTTGTTAAATAACAATAAATGAGATAAAATTTGTAAGTATAAAAAAGAAGAAAACTTTATTTCAAAGATATATTTATGTATTTCATTTATGAATCAATAAAAAATGATAAAATATGAACTTGTGTTGAACGCAAAACTGATAAGTACTAAAGAACAAGAATTTGACACTTACGGAACTGAAAGCCAGTAATTAAAAAAATTTACAGATATGATTTTAAACGTAAATCCAAAAAAGGTAGTATCAGAACGTGTTTAATGTTAAATTAAGGAAAATGAGATTAAAAAACTGAACATAATCATAATTCTAATTACATGATAATATGTTTTTAATCTTATGTTCTCTTTATTAAATACGTTCTGCTTGCTATCTTTCTTGGAATTTGGATTAAGCTTATGATAGTAATCTGTTATTAATTTACATATTATTGATGTTAATAATATGACGTATAATCATAGATTATGTGGCTTAAAAAAAAAACACTTGCTATAACATAAAAGTATTTATTTAATCGTTTAATTTTACATAATCATAATTTTAATGTTGATTTTTATTATAAAGACATTTTAAAAATATTAACGTTAAAGGACATTACAAGTCACAACATTAATTTTTTTTTTTTAATTTTATGTTTCTTGGTGTATTATTGTAGTCAAAATAATGAAAAACATTTTGGTAAAATCTGAAGTTAAAAAAAATGATTATTTGACGAAATATAAGAGTTAAAGGATAGCCGTGTGACGTCATAGAGTCGATGAGTGAGTAGCTGCTCATGTTATAGAGTAAAAGTAGTCTGATTTACACAATGATTTTTATTACTTACGATACTACTTCAGATTTTTTTTTCACAATCATAAGTAATATTTTTATGTTTGAGACGATGATGTGATTTAAAACTTAATATATTTTGTTATTAAATACATATTTAATATTATAAATTATTGAGTTTACAACTCGTATCGTATTGCCGCGAATGTATTTTTACGAAATGTATTAAAATAGTTTTATCTGCTATGAAATAACTAGAAAGTATATCAAAATTATAATCACACTAGGGCCATCAACACGAAAAAAACACTTAAGGTTATAAAAAAAACAAGATAAAAATATATTTTCTGTAATGATTGAAATCGTATTAATCTAGACATTTATACACGTGAAACATACGCCATCTCAATAAACAATTATGGTCAAGTGTAAGACCCACATCGTATTTCTTATATAACTACATACTTTAAATCAAGTAAACTTGTTTTTAGTGTTATAATGACGTTCTTTAAGACAGCGGTTCCTAAACATTTTAGACTCGCATCATTTGAAACCGAGGTTTTTATAAAATGTTATAAAAATGTAATTTCACTCGGTTGTTGTTTAAATACAAGATTTTTAAACTACAGAGATACTACTCGGCGCTACGATGCCCTTGAAAAATATATTGCGGCGTACACTTTGGGAACCCTTAATTCGCTACGGAATGTTTTAAAGTGTCCTACTGGCTACTACCCAGTACCAAATGTCCATTCTTCAGGTTTCCATTGTTCGAAACCATTAGGCAGAATGAATTCCTCAGCTCTTAACAATGACCATACACGCTCAGGTTTAAAACTATATATGAACTATACTGAGAAATCGTTTACCGTCAGGGGATTCGAATGTATTAAATACAAACATTGGAATCCGGCGAAATCACTAAAAATCGATGGCGTAGGATGAAATGTGTTAGTCGTCATTGAATGCTTCAGTTTAAGGATAGGTACAGTTTTTATGGCGTGGCAGATGTCTTCTGCTCGAATCATAACCTTTTATACACGAAAATGGAAAGACCGTTTGAACGAACACAATACATAATAATCATTTTTATTTGGTAGTGTACTTCTACATGTTACGCGGTGTATACATTACTCAGTACTCATAGTCATAATATATGGTGTTATTGAATATGCACCGTCTAAAAAAATTCCGTGATCGAACTCGTTCATCGTACAAATCAAAACTACTTTAATGTTTTGTCTTTTCACATTAATACGTAAAAAATACTCATATCCAAATATAAGAACACCTTACTAGTTACTACTATTCTTTCAAACATAATATGTCAAACTTACTTATTTCAAGAAACAAGAAGTGTATCAGAGAGGGACCCATCGTCTACCGTAAATAATGAATGTTAAAAACGTTTATGATTATTTCTATGAATTACTAAAAACTATTAAATCAGGACAGTATAATATGTATAATTTATTGACTTAAACAATTTTGTGGTTGCAAAAATGATAACATTATAAGGAATATCTTTGAATGTTGGCACATAAAACGAATAAGGTTAAGACCCCCCCCCCTCTACAAAAATTAATATAAATGGTCCTTATAACCACCATATAGTAATTATTCTAGTTTCGGATTATTGTATATTTAAAATAATAATTCATCATTATTCTAAGCTAAAGCGAATGACGTGAATCAAATAATTAACATGTATTAGTTTCTAATTCTCTATAGCTTGTCTCTGCTCTTAAAAAATATTTTATCTTTTGTCATGAAATGTTTTTCTTTTATTCTGTAGTACACAATATACCATACTTAGTCAATATAATTATTGATAGATTTACCTGTTTTACGTTTTACATTGAATTAAATAAATATACAATAGTAATAGTTACTTACTTGACATATTGGTAGTTGTTGAAGTTACTTCATTATTTTGATCTGTACGTTTTATTCTTGCAAAATTTTCATTAATTATTATTAACTTAATTGGTGGAACAGTTTTATCTTGCATTATTAATTTATGATAACCGAACTAGATTTAATTAAACTATTTTTATGTTACTAAAATATTATAATAACATAATAGAATTAATTTTAAATTATAATTGATAAATTAAATATAAGTTTTTAAAAGAAAATCTATTATTAAAAAAAATATTGATATTTATAAAAGCGTAATATACGCTTCGACAGTAGTTCCAGTCGCATCATCGGCAGACAATTGACTGACGGTATACTGCTATATAAAACTCCTTATATAGTTATCAGGTTAGACAACTTATATTTGTAATATTCTGAATAAATTAAATTTTTAAAAACTTAAGTACTTTAAAACATTTTAAATATTTTCTTTATCAGCAATTTTAATAGTTTTACGATACAAACCTTTATCTAAGTATAAATAAATATATTAAAAAAGTATTATTTCTTATTTTTTTTTAATTTTAGATTTCTGAATATTAATTATATAAATAGAAATTTTTTTTTTTCTAAGAATATTTACAATGTATAATAAGAAAATTAGAAAATACAATAAATAAATACACAATATCTGCACCACTTTTTCTTAAGACAGCATGGATGATTTCTAGGAAGCGAATTGGATGTAAGATCAGTTATTAAAGGATTTGAATGAGATTGTAATTTAGAGTAAAATTTTTTATGTTTTTTGGCTAATTGATTTACTGTTTCTATCTTTAATTCATTTTGAAATGTGGAATTGGATACATACCATGGGACAGAAGATATAATGCGGAGAGTGATGGATTGGAAGGCTTGAAAGGTATGAAATTAGGAAAGGTGTTGTACTTCCCAAGAATTTTTCTTTCCAATTCATGCTTTCACATCCTTTTTCGCACATAGATTTTCTTCCATCACTGTTTTTATTGATTCGTTTGGCTCCTCTATGCATGTCCTGCTTATGGAGTCTTCACTTTTTTAATACATAAAATAATTAACAAATAATAAAAAAATTGTTGTTATATTTAATAATGTATTATAATAAAGATCATATTTATATGAATCGTAGAAGAATATTTAATTTTACCACTGCCAATCAGACCTTTACATACTTTTGCTTACTCTTTTATGTTTGACAGTACAAACATGGAATACGAATAAATATTCAAATTTTTACAATAGATCTAAATCTTTTATTTATTGATTGTTTACTTTTCCTGTTCTTAAGGTCTATAGCTTTTCAGATTATTTATCCCATACTCGTGTTTTATGACATCCAAAACATCATCAAAGATTGGCTATCTTAAAAGTATTGTGCGAATTCAGCATGTGATATTTTTTAGTGATTATAGTTTTTAGGTGATTAGCATGCTCATTATCTACACTATCTGGGACGCAATATTAGCCGTAGACAATTTTTATGGTGAAAATAAACTGGGTAATGTATTTAAAAGATGAGATATGATTAGATTACTTTAGCCTTTAGATTAAACTCGAGATTGTGATCAGTATTAATTTAGTGATATTTCAGAGAATGCTATTCATATATTATAGACAATTTTAAAACCACTCTTAAATATTAAGTGCTGTTTTTTTTTATTTGTGTTAGTTTACATGGTGATAAAAACAATATCTAAGATTATCCAAACTACATTCAGAAAATGAAAAAATAGCAAAAGAATGTAAAATGATAACATCTTGAGTATAAATTAATCTTAAATATGTATTAAAGTTTTTTTTAAATCCGCTTTCCTTGATTTCTTATTTTAATTCTACATATTATATTCAATTGTATATAATATATTTCTGTTTTTAGCTAGTGAAGTGTTTCATAGAACAACTACGCAAGCCAGCAGAGTTTATTCACTGAGTGCAGTTCATGAAGGGGTCAAGCAGCTCACGGACTCATACTTTCACCTCTCAAACCAAATGAATACAGTGTAAGTTTTATTCATCTTTATATTACTTCAAATTTGTTGAGAGTTAAGAACCAAAGGTTTATACTCGATAAATGTTTACGAGGAGTGAAAGGCCAATTGAAATGGACCTAATTTTAGAAACAATTGAGTCAGATAATCAAATTATAATCGACACGTTTAACTCATTGAGTACAAGCAAGTCGAGTAATGATATAGCAAGTACCTAAACCAAACAGTAAGAGGGACTTAACTAAAAAAAAAAATAAGTTATCTAATTTTTATTTCTACTTTGAGATTTATTCCCGTATTCATCGGTGGAAATGAAACCAATTCAATATCATTCAATTACAAATGCGATTTCGTATTAACAAAATTACTAGAAATTTCTAAACCTGATATACTAGGTAGTGGCAGTATTTATACAGCTTAAAGGGAAAGCATTAGATAAAGTTAAGTACAGGGAAATTACAACATGGAAGGAATTGAAATTATATCTCATAATTAGTGCATAACACTCAGCTCAGTACTTACACGTACAACTAAATTCATGATGCAAGGTCTAACATAGTCAAAAAATTTTACACAGAGAATAGGAAAAACATAACATCATAGGCGTGTTAGATATCTGTGGCCCATGACTTATATAATAAATAAAAATTTGATTTTAATATTACATCAATATATTTAAATTATATAGGTATATTTGTAATCACATTGACAAATTTTTCATAATTGGTTCATTAGAGTCATCACTCATCGTGATAACAGTAATTGTTCCCAAGTAGAAAATTTTCATGATAAATCTAACCGTGATTAGGTACTACCAAATATTAATCGTAATCACAGTGCAGTTATCAATGTAACTTTATTAAGGTTGTAGATAATACCACACATCGAAATGTACAATACGAATAACGAATTTACGGTTTTTTTTTTTTTATTATTATCTAGTCTTGTCGCTCATTATGGTTGTATTACGTAAAATTATTTAACTATTATATACATTTTATCTACTAAATAATGTGCTCATATTATGAGCAAAAAAGAGAAAACTGTGATAATAAATGGTTTCTTTCAATAGAATAAAGTTAAAACTGACATCACTAAAGGTAAGTAAATTATATATAAATAAAATATTCAAGAGTCGATAATTATTATTGTTATTGTTATACTTCTATTTTTCTTCAGACATTTTTAAGTGGGACCCTCCTGCAGACGAAGTCTGTGAAAACTATGCATATCATGAATTAACGTACGCACTAACGGTAAGCAAAACAATAGAGCAAAAATAATCGCGTACACAAAAAACTAGCACGTGCTTAGTATTTTTACTTCAGGCGTTTCAAAAACAGTACAGACAATTATAATATAATATACAGACATAATATAAAAAACTTCAAAGAAGCCGTATTAATTGCCACGGAGCAAGAAAAAACTTCGCCAAATCGAGGTACATTTATATAGTAAAAATAACGATAAACATTACCGAAACAATTTTGAATCTAATTATAAAGAACACTTAAATAAGCCCCTTGATAAATAGATAGTTTAAAGATAAGAGTATAATTACATGTTTTCATTTTGATAAAATTGATCATTACAGAATGAATGTAGAGATAAATTGTAAAATTCAATATTGTATTTCATAATTTTCCTACACCTGAGGTAGAAATTTAATTTAAATTAAATAAAAATTAATAAAATATATATATAATATGTTATTTTAATTTTTATTTAATTTAATTTTTTTTTTTTTACTTCAGGTGTTGCATTATTAAAAAACAATAAAGCAATTATAGATGTAATAAAGAAGTATTAATTATACACAAGCTGATAAAAGGGGACGAAGTTGAACCGGTTAACAGCGTGCACTATCAGATGAGATACCAGAAAACAATGAGCATAAAAATTAGTAAACATTTATAATTTTTTTTTTTCTATTACGGCCCACGGTCGATTTTGATTTTTTTTTTTTGTTAAAAACCTAATAATTTCTTTTTTTCTAGAATGTAAGGTGTTTATAAATTTGTTTGAAACATGCTATAATGTTTAGTGGCATATCGCTTTACCTTTTCATGTTATTATTTATTTTAGTTCAATAATTTTGTTTTAGAACGTAGGTCTTAAGTACGGTATTTTCACAACACCACGTCGCCAGGATCAGGCAACTGATGCTGCCATCATTGGCTGCATTTAGCTAGCACAAAAACAAAATGTTAAATTACGTGCCACTGTTCTGGAGAACTTCAGAAATTGTTTAACAGTCATCTTAGTTCTAAAGAACTTATATGAATCGAGGACTTCGTTACAGCTGCATCGCCGCCTATATAAGTAGTGAGTACCTCCTCAGTGTTAGACTAATATATACTCTTCGATAGAATATTTATAGATTCTGTCAAAAAACCTTAATTTCATATTTCAAATTTAATTCTTAAATTAAATAAATAATTACTTTGTTAAACTTTATTTCAAGTTAACATAATTTAAATCAATCTCAATCTCATCCGACATAGTGACGTTATCAGGCTTTCGTCGTAAGCATGCAATTATCAAATGGTTAGAGCACAGACTGGTTACTACAGTACATATTAAATAAAAACATGGCATGTATAATTTATAGTATTGGGTATATCAAGAAAATACGTAGGTCTATACAAATAAAAAAATTTAAAAAAAACCTTATCTGACAAGGGTTGACACAGCATTCACATTACATTATTAATATGTAATTTATAACGATTAGAATTATTTTTAGGCGTAAACCTAGTAAAATAAATTGCTATAATAGTGGATCAGCATATCAAAAGAGTTAGGAAATACTGTCATGTGTAATCCGGGTTCAGGGAATCGTTAATACCGCCGCCGTGATGCAGAAGGTTATTCAGAACGCTAGAACAGAATAGACGTTGCCGTTGTTACGGAATTTGGGTTGCTACGACATCATTAAGCAATGCGGAAGTTGCCATGTTTGGCATGACGCATCTCTTAGCAATTTAAGGAAACGATTATTTTTAGGCTCTGACCAGAGGGTAAAGAGTAATATAATATTGTTGTGTTATGTAGCGGAAACCGTTTTATTCGTCCTAAGTCTAATGTATTATTTGAATAAAATAATCAATCCCAGATTAATTATAAAATATCAAAAATA